TGGTGCACTGGCCCCTCACACACACTCTCGGGCGCACTGGCCCCTCACACACACTCTCTGGTGCACTGGCCCCTCACTCTCTGGTGCACTGGCCCCTCACACACACTCTCTGGTGCACTGGCCCCTCACACACACTCTCTGGTGCACTGGCCCCTCACACACACTCTCTGGTGCACTGGCCCCTCACACACACTCTCTGGTGCACTGGCCCCTCACACACACTCTCTGGTGCACTGGCCCCTCACACACACGCTCGGGCGCACTGGCCCCTCACACACACGCTCGGGCGCACTGGCCCCTCACACACTCTCTCTGGTGCACTGGCCCCTCACTCTCTGGTGCACTGGCCCCTCACACACTCTCTCTGGTGCACTGGCCCCTCACTCTGGTGCACTGGCCCCTCACACACACTCTCTGGTGCACTGGCCCCTCACACACTCTCTCTGGTGCACTGGCCCCTCACACACTCTCTCTGGTGCACTGGCCCCTCACACACTCTCTCTGGTGCACTGGCCCCTCACACACACTCTCTCTGGTGCACTGGCCCCTCACACTCTCTCTCTGGTGCACTGGCCCCTCACACACACACTCTCTCTGGCGCACTGGCCCCTCACACACACACTCTCTCTGGCGCACTGGCCCCTCACACACACTCTCTCTGGCGCACTGGCCCCTCACACACACACTCTCTCTGGTGCACTGGCCCCTCACTCTCTGGTGCACTGGCCCCTCACACACACTCTCTCTCTGGTGCACTGGCCCCTCACACACACTCTCTCTGGTGCACTGGCCCCTCACACACTCTCTCTGGTGCACTGGCCCCTCACACACACACTCTCTCTGGTGCACTGGTCCCTCACACACACTCTCTCTGGTGCACTGGCCCCTCACACACACACTCTCTCTGGTGCACTGGTCCCTCACACACACTCTCTCTGGTGCACTGGTCCCTCACACACTCTCTCTGGTGCACTGGTCCCTCACACACTCTCTCTGGTGCACTGGTCCCTCACACACTCTCTCTGGTGCACTGGCCCCTCACACACACACTCTCTCTGGTGCACTGGCCCCTCACACACACACTCTCTCTGGTGCACTGGTCCCTCACACACTCTCTCTGGTGCATTGGTCCCTCACACACTCTCTCTCTGGTGCACTGGCCCCTCACACACACACTCTCTCTGGTGCACTGGCCCCTCACACACACTCTCTCTGGTGCACTGGCCCCTCACACACTCTCTCTGGTGCACTGGCCCTCACACACACACTCTCTGGTGCACTGGCCCCTCACACACTCTCTCTGGTGCACTGGCCCCTCACACACTCTCTCTGGTGCACTGGCCCCTCACACACACACACTCTCTCTGGCGCACTGGTCCCTCACACACACTCTCTGGTGCACTGGCCCCTCACACACACTCTCTGGTGCACTGGCCCCTCACACACACACACTCTCTCTGGTGCACTGGCCCCTCACTCTCTGGTGCACTGGCCCCTCACACACTCTCTCTGGCGCACTGCCCCTCACACACACACACTCTCTCTGGTGCACTAACCTCTCACACACACACTCTCTCTGGTGCACTGGCCCCTCACACACTCTCTCTGGTGCACTGGCTCCTCACACACTCTCTCTGGTGCACTGGCCCCTCACACACACACACTCTCTCTGGCGCACTGGCCCCTCACACACACTCTCTCTGGTGCACTGGCCCTCACACACACTCTCTCTGGCGCACTAACCTCTCACACACACTCTCTCTGGTGCACTGGCCCCTCACACACACACTCTCTCTGGTGCACTGGCCCCTCACACACTCTCTCTGGTGCACTGGCCCCTCACACACACACTCTCTGGTGCACTGGCCCCTCACACACTCTCTCTGGTGCACTGGCCCCTCACACACTCTCTCTGGTGCACTGGCCCCTCACACACACACTCTCTCTCTGGTGCACTGGCCCCTCACACACACACTCTCTCTGGTGCACTGGCCCCTCACACACACACTCTCTCTGGTGCACTGCCCCTCACACACACACTCTCTCTGGTGCACTGGCCCCTCACACACACACACTCTCTCTGGTGCACTGGCCCCTCACACACACACTCTCTCTGGTGCACTGGCCCCTCACACACACACACTCTCTCTGGTGCACTGACCCCTCACACACACACACTCTCTGGTCGCACTGGCCCCTCACACACACACACTCTCTGGTGCACTGGCCCCTCACACACACACACACTCTCTCTGGCGCACTGGTCCCTCACACACACTCTCTGGCGCACTGGCCCCTCACACACACTCTCTGGTGCACTGGCCCCTCACACACACACACTCTCTGGTGCACTGGCCCCTCACACACACACACACTCTCTCTGGCGCACTGGTCCCTCACACACACTCTCTGGTGCACTGGCCCCTCACACACACACACTCTCTCTGGTGCACTGGCCCCTCACACACACACTCTCTCTGGTGCACTGGCCCCTCACACACACACACTCTCTCTGGTGCACTGACCCCTCACACACACACACTCTCTGGTGCACTGGCCCCTCACACACACACACTCTCTGGTGCACTGGCCCCTCACACACACACACTCTCTGGTGCACTGGCCCCTCACACACACACACACTCTCTCTGGCGCACTGGTCCCTCACACACACTCTCTGGCGCACTGGTCCCTCACACACACTCTCTGGCGCACTGGTCCCTCACACACACTCTCTGGCGCACTGGTCCCTCACACACACTCTCTGGTGCACTGGCCCCTCACACACACACACACTCTCTCTGGCGCACTGGTCCCTCACACACACTCTCTGGTGCACTGGCCCCTCACACACACACACTCTCTCTGGTGCACTGGCCCCTCACACACACACTCTCTCTGGTGCACTGGCCCCTCACACACACACACTCTCTCTGGTGCACTGACCCCTCACACACACACACTCTCTGGTGCACTGGCCCCTCACACACACACACTCTCTGGTGCACTGGCCCCTCACACACACACACACTCTCTGGTGCACTGGCCCCTCACACACACTCTCTGGTGCACTGGCCCCTCACACACTCTCTCTGGTGCACTGGCCCCTCACACACACACACTCTCTCTGGTGCACTAACCTCTCACACACACACTCTCTCTGGTGCACTGGTCCCTCACACACTCTCTCTCTGGTGCACTGGCCCCTCACACACACTCTCTCTGGTGCACTGGCCCCTCACACACACACTCTCTCTGGTGCACTGGCCCCTCACACACTCTCTCTGGTGCACTGGCCCCTCACACACACACTCTCTGGTGCACTGGCCCCTCACTCTCTCTCTCTGGTGCACTGGCCCCTCACACACTCTCTCTGGTGCACTGGCCCCTCACACACACACTCTCTCTCTGGTGCACTGGCCCCTCACACACACACTCTCTCTGGTGCACTGGCCCCTCACACACACACTCTCTCTGGTGCACTGACCCCTCACACACACACTCTCTCTGGTGCACTGGCCCCTCACACACACACACTCTCTCTGGTGCACTGGCCCCTCACACACACACTCTCTCTGGTGCACTGGCCCCTCACACACACACACTCTCTCTGGTGCACTGACCCCTCACACACACACACTCTCTGGTGCACTGGCCCCTCACACACACACACTCTCTGGTGCACTGGCCCCTCACACACACACACACTCTCTCTGGCGCACTGGTCCCTCACACACACTCTCTGGCGCACTGGCCCCTCACACACACTCTCTGGTGCACTGGCCCCTCACACACACACACTCTCTGGTGCACTGGCCCCTCACACACACACACACTCTCTCTGGCGCACTGGTCCCTCACACACACTCTCTGGTGCACTGGCCCCTCACACACACACACTCTCTCTGGTGCACTGGCCCCTCACACACACACTCTCTCTGGTGCACTGGCCCCTCACACACACACACTCTCTCTGGTGCACTGACCCCTCACACACACACACTCTCTGGTGCACTGGCCCCTCACACACACACACTCTCTGGTGCACTGGCCCCTCACACACACACACTCTCTGGTGCACTGGCCCCTCACACACACACACACTCTCTCTGGCGCACTGGTCCCTCACACACACTCTCTGGCGCACTGGTCCCTCACACACACTCTCTGGCGCACTGGTCCCTCACACACACTCTCTGGCGCACTGGTCCCTCACACACACTCTCTGGTGCACTGGCCCCTCACACACACACACACTCTCTCTGGCGCACTGGTCCCTCACACACACTCTCTGGTGCACTGGCCCCTCACACACACACACTCTCTCTGGTGCACTGGCCCCTCACACACACACTCTCTCTGGTGCACTGGCCCCTCACACACACACACTCTCTCTGGTGCACTGACCCCTCACACACACACACTCTCTGGTGCACTGGCCCCTCACACACACACACTCTCTGGCGCACTGGTCCCTCACACACACTCTCTGGCGCACTGGTCCCTCACACCACACTCTCTGGTGCACTGGCCCCTCACACACACACACTCTCTGGTGCACTGGCCCCTCACACACACACACACTCTCTCTGGCGCACTGGTCCCTCACACACACTCTCTGGCGCACTGGTCCCTCACACACACTCTCTGGTGCACTGGCCCCTCACACACACACTCTCTCTGGTGCACTGGCCCCTCACACACACACACACTCTCTCTGGCGCACTGGTCCCTCACACACACTCTCTCTGGTGCACTGGCCCCTCACACACACACACACTCTCTCTGGCGCACTGGTCCCTCACACACACTCTCTGGTGCACTGGTCCCTCACACACACTCTCTGGTGCACTGGCCCCTCACACACACACTCTCTCTGGTGCACTGGCCCCTCACTCTCTGGTGCACTGGCCCCTCACACACTCTCTCTGGCGCACTGACCCCTCACACACACACACTCTCTCTGGCGCACTGGCTGACTGGCCCTGTCACACACTCACCGCCCAGCCCCAGGGCCTGACCCTCTGGCGCCGGCTGTTCCTCCTGCTCTCCGCGCTGCTGCTGCTGCTCCTCGCCCCGCTCCCCCCCCCCGCCGCCGCCGCCGCTCTCCTCTCCCCCGGGAGGGCTCTGCTGCTCGAGCCCGAACCAACTGCCCACCGCTCGGAACATGTCGCCCACCGACAACAACAACCGCCGCCGCCACCACCACCACCGACCGGAAACTCGCTGACGTGAGCCCCGACACGCCGGAAATAGCGTCACCCGCCCCGCCCCCGCCGTGACTGCTCCCTGTGCGGCCGCAGGCGGCGCTGTGGAGTAGCACAGAGTGTGTGTGTGTGTGTGTGTGGGGGGGGGGGGGGGGGGGAGGGGGCACTCAGGCCAACACAACAACAGCAATAACAACAAACAACAATAATAGTTATCCTTCCATTTGATACAGCGCTTTTCACGTCTTCGAGGCGTCTCAAAGCGCTTCACAGAACACACTGTGAAGTCAACTGACCGCATATATTTGTGGGTGAAACCGGCCGCCCAACCGCGCACCGCAGTGTCCCACAAACAGTCGTGGATTGAAGTGGCCACATTTTTTTGTGGAAGGGATTGTTACCCCCGGAAAAGCGATCCGCCAATCAACTAATAACCGGGTCCCTACTAGGAAACAGAGGTAAGGAAAGTTGCTCGAGGTTTGGCCCTGGTCAGGAATCAAACCCAGGTCTCTCGCTTGCGAGGCGAGAGCTTCAACCACTCGATTCCCAGCACGGCGACTGTCTTTTCTTCCCCACATTCGGCCATGAGGCGCTCTGCCTTCCCTCACCTCCGTAACGTCGCCCGACTCCTCCCGACGTGAAAGGCGCTATACAAATGTAATCTCTTGTCGCTGTTAGGCAAGTTTCCTTACTCCACGTGTCTCCGTTTACCTAGCAGGAGTAGGAACCCAGGTGTTGGTCGATCGATGGATCGCTTTTCTGGGAGTAATAATTCTTTCCCAAAAGAACAATAATAAATTGTCACTTGAATCCACGACTGTTTGTGGGACACTGCTGTGCACGATTGGCTGCCGCGTTTCGCCCACAAAATATGCAGTCAATTGACTTTACAGTACATTCTGCGAAGCGCTTTGAGAACGTCGAGAAGATGCGATGAGGCGCTGTATCCAATGTAAGGATTATGAGTGTCATGAGGTGAGAGAGTGTAAGGATGTGCTGGGGCCCAGGCGAAATAGCACCCTCCAATGGCGAATGTACCGAACAGCCTCCAACATGAATAATAATAATAATAATAATCCTTGAAGAGGGGTGACCAGAAATTAAAACATGTTCATAGCCCCAAATCAACCGGATACTCGCCCAAAAAGTAGCGCTACATTGACATGGTGGGTCGCCTCCTTTGTATCCGGGTAGCAGAGCGGGCAATTTACATGAATGCTTTTTAAAACGGCAGTGATGCAAGGTCTTCAATAGTTGGGGGAGGGAGGGTTAAATTAAAAATATATATATTTTTTAAACCCGTCCCAAACTGTTTTGTCAGGAACCTGGGTGTCTTGTTTGACCCTGAAACTGTCCTTTCTCCCCCACATCTGCGCCATGACCGGCACTGCCTACCACCACCTCCGCAACATTGCCAGACTCCATCACTGCCTCACCCCTCAGGCTGCCGAAACCCTCACCCTCGCATTCATCACATCAAGGCTCAATTATGGAAACTCCCTCCTCATCGGCCTTCCCAACTCTTCCCTTCACAACCTGCAGATCATCCAAAACTTTGCAGCTCGTGTACTCTCGTGCACCAGACTCCGCGACCCCATCACTCCCACCCTCGCCTGACTCCACTGGCTCCCCATCCCCCAGAGGATCGAGTTCAAGATCCTCGTCCTCATCCATGGCCTTGCCCCCTCCTACCTCTCTGATCTGCTGACTCCCTACCAACCTGCCCACTCCCTCCACTCATCAGGCTTTAGTCTGCTCCATGTCTCCCGCCCGACCCGCCCTACCATCGGTGGCCGGGCTTTCAGCCTCTCTGCCCCCACACTCTGGAACTCCATCCCACGGTCCCTTTGCCTCTCTTCCTCCTTTGCCTCCTTCAAGGCCGGTCTCAAGACCCTTCTCTTCGACCGTGCCTTTGGTCTCCCTCCCACCTCTCCGTCTTCCCTCACCCCTACACCACCCGTCCCCCATTGCTCGGGCCCCGACACCTGACTGTCCAGCGCTTTGGGACGTCCTCCCGACGTGAAAGGCGCTCTATAAATGTCATGTTGTTGTTGTTGTTGTTTCAAGCACATTGCAACACACAGAAACCCCCACTAACCCCCGCCCAAATCGGGCGTGAAACCCGCCCAATTGGGAGTGGAGGGGGGGAGTGGAGGAGGGGGGGGGAGGGGAGGCATTGCTCAGGTTGCGCGGTGACGGGAACAGGCAAACCGCCCAAATTGGGCGTGAAAGCCGCCCGGCTGCGGGTGCGCCTCTGGTTGCGCGGTGACGGGTGATTGACAGGGGCCGCTGAGCCCCCCCGGAGCTGGAGGCGCGCGCGCGCGCACAGCCGCGCGGACACCCGCTGACCGCGGCCGTCACCGTCACCAGCGGCAGCGGCTCAGCTTCCGACCTCGTCGCAGGGCAGTCGGCTGCGGAGACGTTTGAGAGCCTCCTCCCTCCTTGCACGGTGTGTGCGTGTTGTGCGCGTGTGTGTGTGTGTGTGTCGTTTGTGTGTGTGCGCGCGTGTGTGCGTGTGCGTGTGCGTGTCTTATCGTGTTCGCTCTGGCGGTTTGCGCCGGTCATTGCAGCAGTGGACAGGACTCGGGCCGAGTGACATTCAGCTGACAGCAGCACAGAGAGAGAGAGAGAGAGAGAGGGGGAGGGGGGGGGGGGGGGGGGGGTAGCACTCATTAAACACACCATCATCCACTGCAGAGCTGACACCACCCTTCCCCACCCCCACCCCCCCCCCTTCCAAATTAACTATTAATAGATGAGACTGTCTTGAGTTTGCATTAAAAACCTAATGCACTTATCTTTCTTGTTTCACCTCCTCTTTCTCTCTCCTCTCTCTCGCTCTCTCTCCCCTGTTACCCAATGCCTGCTGCCTGTTGAGACATGTGGAAAGCCGTCGCGGTGCTTAACCAAGTGCCCAAACCAAAGCGAGAGTTCCAGGCGTCCCACTTGTACACGGAACATGTATTCATATTCCGAGATATTCATTGGGATGGAATGCGCATATGCTGGTCGGACCCGCTGAGCTGGTAAACTTCACTCCGCCACGTGGTCGTGTGCTTTGGATTTAGTGTCGGCTCATTTGCGAAGCAGGTGGCTTGTGAAGTAGACCAGAACACTCAGCAGCAAAAGAGGGACAAAGCTGCATAGTTTTTAATCTTAAAAAACAACAACCGCTTTTAGTGAGTTGTGGTACAATCCTTGGGTAAATCAGATCGCACTATTATCCGTTACTCTCTTTGCAATATAGGCATCGTAGGTAAATATGATAGACAGTATGGTTATAATTGCCTTACAGAACTGAATGCTGTTAATCCATAACAGGTCAATCAGCATCAGACCGAAAATTAGGTTAATGCTGTGCATTTCACACATTTCTGTATCAATTTCCTATTTTATTAACCTTTCTGCTTTAGAATTATAAAATAATTGTCTCCTGAGATATAATAAACTGTCAATATCAGTTCTCGATGATCGATTGATGCTATGATCCTGAACAACTTGAGTTGATTATGTTACAGTTATTAATTACTCAGCCAGTAAGGTATCATATGCCATTCACTCGACACACATATCATTGATATCTGCCGTGATAGCTGCTGTCAGCAGAATATAGGTTAAAAACGTATACCCACAAACGTCATACTGCATGTCATAAAAATATACCTATTAGCAAGTTGTAGGTTATCGTCTAATTTTGGATGATAGTTGCAACCATCGCTGGTTTAAGAAATCATCTCGGACTACTGACAAGATGACTGTGTTTGTGAGTGTGTAGTGACAGCGAACAACCATTGCAAGATGTGCGCAAGAGTGGTAGTTGAAGAGTATGACATGATTCATAACTATTCAGTAATCCTTATCACAGTGTATCGTACTGATTTGTGGGTTGTTTTACTTTTGTGGGTAGCTTTGAAAACAGGCAGAAAAAGGTTTACCTAATTATGAAAACAATTCAAGATAGACATTTGCTTACCCGGTGTTTCTATCTACACCCTTACTTCACTCAATGGGGTTTATTCATCTTATCATTAAATATAATGTTTTTTAAATTACATCTTTATATTGGGACATAACAAAACAATTTGCTCTTTTGTTTCTCTGACATTTGGTGTCATTACACCCTTAATGTGACTACAATACAACTGTGGACTAAATTGTTCTTCATGTTCTTCACTGAATATCTCAGATATCAATGGGAAGCAACAGGGCTGTTTGGAGAAAGAAGTAGACTCTAGTAAGAGAAGAATGGTTGAGTTCATCTGGGAAAGGATTCAAGACTGTCATCCAGAGGAAATTTTCCCATTAGAGGTATATTATGAAAAGTTGCTACATTTTGTATAATATATCAAAATATATCACCTTGTGTCTGTTACACAAATGCTGTAGTAAGTTTGGAATTATTTAAATAATGGTAAGGATTCCTACCCCTACCCCTACCCTCCTTGTCCTCCGTCCCTCCTGATCCCAACCCCCAGCTTGGTTTCAAATCTCTGACTGTCCAGCACCTTGGGACGTCCTTCTGATGTGAAAGGCGCAAAACAAATGAAATTGTGTATTGTATTGTGTGTTTACTTTGCAGAGGGGGGGTTACTGCATAACAATCGGAGGCAGGCACTCTGACTGAGGGTATGCTGTATTGTTGGAAATGCCATCATTTGAGTAAGACATTAAACCGAGACCCTGCATACCTGGTCAGGTGGATGCTTAAGATCCCATGACACTCGCTATTCGAAAAGAAAAGTGGGTTTCTCCCTGGTTCTAGCAAAGATTATCCCAAATAAAATTGGTTATTCACTTCATCGCTGTTTGTGGGACATTTCCGTGCACTAATTTAATTTGCCTACACTTACAGTAAATCCTATAAAGCACTTTGAGACATCTTGAAAACGTGATAAGGCACTGTATCAAATGCCAGGCCGACGGCGCCTCAATATGCTAAGCCTAAGGCATTGGCAGATCATTACTTTCTGGAAAATTTACAGCAGCAACAATTAAATGATATTATTATAAAAACGGCAACACAGTGTCCACAGGTATTGATGAAAGCCATGAAATGAGTGATCAATTTTATTTGTGGGATTGTTAGCCAGGACACAGCGAGAAATTCCCTTCTGTTTTCGAATAGTGCCATGGGATCTTTAATGTCCACCTGAATAGACAGATGGGACCTCGGTTTAATGTCTCATTCGAAGGACGGCACCTCCGATAATAAAACAGCCACCAGTGCTACATTGGAGTGTCATCTTAGACTATGTGAGTTCAAGTCCTGACTTGGAATTTGAACCCACAACCTTCTGACTCAGAGTTAAGGGTGCTAACACTGAGCCAGGCCGACACATAAATACTACGGACGGACAAAATATGAAAAATATCATAGGGAACTATTTTAAAATGTGACTGGCTTGATGCACACAGTTCTAATAAAAATACCATAGGATGTCTAAATGCCACTAAAATCAGCTGATAGATTGCAAAGCTATGCCTGACCTTTACTGCTGCTGCAGATCTTAATGAAATCTGAAGTATAATAACCAACATTTATACAAATCAATGGGAAAAAACTACAGCAATTTTCACTCGATTTTCCTGAGAGTATTTGAAAAAGATTTGACAAAAAAAATATCTAACTGAATTATCCTAACATCTCTGAATAGGTCATCTTGATGTATGCGTGAATTTCCTGAAGTGTTTCCTTTTATTAAAAGAATCAGTTTGCAAGAGGCAAATAATATCAATGAAGATCTGAATTATTGTCAAGATCCTTGAAGAAAAACGTACCGTCTATCTCCCTTATAAACCTTTGCCACATTTTTCTGTGCCTTATTCCAGTTTATTCTTTAGTACTTGAGCTTTATCTGTTCCATTCATATGTGTCTTTTTTGTAAATGTACTTATAACAGTACTTCTCAAACCAACTTGCTTTATGGCTGATCAGACTAATCATGCAGTCGTCACCAGAACATACAAAGCTGAACTTTTAAATTGATTTTAAAAAAACACTAAATATTTTTAATGTATTGGTGTTTTTGCTTATTGTTATGTCACACTGTTTAGATATGGTGAATGACGAATCAACTAACGGCCCTATATCTCTTTTGACTTCCCCTTTTGCAATTTTTAACCCTTCTATGAGTTAGATTTTTACTTCCTATATGCAATATCTTGCAGCTATCTGTGTTGAACTTGCTTTGCCAGTGGTTAACACAGGTGCATTTACTGTTAGGTTTTCTCATCTGCCTCTGATTCCCCAGTTTTGTTTCCCTCCACCCCCAGCTCATGTCATGTACAAATGTAACTACTTTGCATTGAATCTGAAAATCAAGGTCAATTGTGACTCGTAGCATTGATCCCTCAATACTCTGTCCCCACTTGGAAACCATTTGAAAGACACAGTGGTATTTTTGGATCTCAGATAGGGAATTATTACTCTTAGAATTGCCATTGCTTTTAGTGGAGGGAGGAAACAGATTAAGGCTGGCAGTCACTAAAGTGTCACAAGGTGGTGCTATTGCTTGCTATTTTCACAAGATGTAAACCTGCTTCTTTTTGTTATTCAGATAAATACCCATTGGTAGATCTGTGTAGAAAAGTAATAAAAAGTGATTGAATAATGCAGTCATATCTAATTTCTTTGAAAAGATACAGTATTGTCAAAATATTCCAAGTACAGATCTATGGGGCTATTCAGAATTCAGTATCTTTAAAAGAATCCTGTATGAGAGGGCAAGGCTTGTATACCTCCCTTTAATAAATTGAACTGTGCTGTTGTATCTTTTAATAGTGTACATGGGTGCAGTAAAGTACATTATACATTTAGTTTTTAAATACAATGCCTATAATTTCAGAATACTTCACAAGTAATTTCTATAAACTGTCGTGACTGTATATTTGTAGGCAAGTATGATAGCTAATTTGCATACATCAATGTCTCACAAATAACCATGAAGTGAATGACATTTATCTGGAGTTGTGTTGGCCAGGACATCAGACAAAGGTTTATGAATAATGTCATGGGATCTTTAGCATTCATCTGAACAGGCGGGTGGGACCATGGTTTAATGTCACATTCAAAATGGTATCTCCAACAATGCAGTTCTTCACCGGTACTCCAAGATTACCTCTGAAGATTATTTTCAGAGGTAATCTTGGAGCTCATGTTTTCCTGCATATGGATTGAAGAATGCTTCTAGTAGATCCCAGTTTTTCTCTTCATTTTATGAAGTAAAATGTATACGTAAAGGGCATTGAATGTTCAATATAGTACTTAAATCTGGACTTTCTTTCAAAGGTTTGTTTCAAGATATCTGCACATCAAGTTTACCAATGAAGTATATCCTGGTAACTGGTGGTGTCATTTCCGGCATTGGCAAAGGAATCATTGCCAGCAGCATTGGTACCATTATGAAGTCATGTGGGCTGCGAGTGACTGCCCTAAAAATTGATCCTTACATTAACATTGACGCTGGAACCTTTTCACCTTATGAACACGGTAACTAATAAGAGCTTACTTGTGCACTCTTTGTATGACATATGAAAGAATATCTGCTTTTTTACTTTCATGTTAAGACTGAATTCACGTCTGATGAGCAATGCGACATGTTAAGCTAAGGGGGGAATAAATAATGTACCCGTGGTACTTGACTGACATTGTTTTATTTAGAAATCTAAAGCTGTGTTTATATTGCCAAGTATGTTGCTGCTTCTCTCGCTGCATATTGCAGTGTGGAATGAGAAGCCGAGTTTATACTATACTGCCTGCTGTTTTATATCGAGCTGGTGGAAAAAATTATACAACCAATTTTGGCATTCTGCACAGAACATTAAAATTGAGGGTTTGCTAGTATTATTAAAGAGCTAGAACATTAAAAATGCTGCATTCGATGTCTCCGATTGCCTCTTGCTGAAAACTTTGAATGCACCTTGGGAAGAGTGTCCGTCTATACAGAGCAAGAGCAAAATTGTATTGTTCGTAATCTATCACCTGCAGCTTGACGTCAAGAGAGTAGCTTGAACATGCTTCCCACTGCCTGAACCCCTGTTTATACCATGTTAGGCACCTAGTCACTGTCCCAGTAATTCACCACCAAATTTGACATATAAGCACAGCAAGGAGCATCAATCAATTTGTGGATAGACGATGGTTTACGTTCAGGAAAGGCAACAGAAGACAAAGGCCCCTGCCAAAATAAATAATCTTGCTAATATCTTAGAAGTGTTGGAAATGGTATCAGTGGTGGTTTTGAATGGTGGCTTTCATTACAGGTAGTCAATGGTATTAAAACTGAATCACAGATGGAGCACTGCCTTGGAGTTCCACTGCTGCAGCAGAACATTTGCGATACAGATGTAATTTCCATTATGCCAGTTGAGCTGCTCATCTCAACGGGGAATTCCCTCTTATTGCTGCTGTGTTCTTATTGAATAGTTCAGCGCAGCATTCGCAGAGAGAAGCAGGATAGCTACAGTTTGAATGTGGCCTTTTGAGAAATTACACAGTGAAGTATATATATCTATAATACTCATGGGTGCTCGAAATTCCACCCAGCCCGTAAAACTATTTTGTCGTAAAATATAAGATCACGCAGAATTCTGGCAATAATTAGGAAGCCGTTTTTCCACTTTTCTTCACAAACAACTGGATTCCAAATTAAGATTGAATGTAAGAATTGTTCCCATTTCTGCGCAATCTTAAAATTTAAGGCAGAATGGAATAACAGACTAAGACTAGGGGGCATTTCAGACCAATGCTATTCATTGTTTTGTGGGACAGCATCATTCTTTGCCTTGTCATTAATGTTTCAATAATGGCTCATAACTCAATCACGTTAAGGTTCTTTTGCAAATATTGTACAATTGCTTCTTTCACCCCGTACATCAGTGTGTATTTGTTCATTTCTCATACCTTATCCTTACATCACAATTTCTGCACCATTTGAGCCAACTGCTAGGTAGTTTTAAACAAAATAAACTGGATTTATCTGAAAAATTAAATCAGCTAAATACCTTTCATTTTGATTTACCAAGGTCGTTAACATTTCTTTACTTTTACTGCAATCAAAGATGTTAGTTTAACTGTTTAATTTTATTGTGGTAGTAAATATTTCATGAAAGACGCGCTTTTACTGTTGCATGTTTTCCTCACAGGGGAAGTCTTTGTACTGAATGATGGAGGAGAAGTCGATTTAGACTTGGGGAATTATGAACGGTTTCTTGACATCAACCTTTACAAAGATAACAATATTACCACAGGAAAAATCTACCAACATGTCATTACCAAGGAACGTCGTGGAGATTATCTGGGCAAGACAGTTCAAGGTACTTTCTTTACCAATGTTGGTAACTGAGCACATTGATTCTGAATTTCTATACTTCAGTATTATAAATCAATGCCACATTTGCCCATAAATACAAAGTCAGTACAATTTACAGTACAATCCTGTGAAGTGCTTTGAGATGTGTTGATGAAATGATAATGTGTTAAAAAAAATCGTAAAAGGGATATGATTGTAATATACTTTATACGTCATTACTATAATAGCTGATAATGGTTATTACTTTTCTCTGCAGTGCTCTATAAAAATGAAGTGTATTTGTTTAGCATTCAAAATATCTTAAGGATTCCTGTTGATATATTCAGGTTCAATGATGATACATTTGTAAGCAAATGTATCCAATTTGTACATAATAGGGTCATTCAATTCATAAACATATATGAAGTGAATGACCAATTTATCTGGAGGATTGTTGACAAAGGTACTGAGAGAAACTCCATTCTGTTTTGAATAGTTTCATGAGATATTTAGTGTCCACTTGAACAGGCAGTCAGACATTGGAACCTTGATTTAATGGTTTCCCTCAAGACTCCCGAAGGGAAATACATGATCTACCTGAGATTATTTTGAAGTGTTACACAAGTAACTTTAAGGGGGATAGAACCATTCATCTAGTAAATCTATTATAAATAAATTTGGTGTAGTTTACATTTGTAGATGATGTACCATGATGTACGTTTTTTTTAAAAAAGTCAGACCAGAACAGTAATTTATGTATAATACATTTCATATAGCATCTCGAAAGACTTCTATGTGGATATAACATATGAAGGTAGTCTTTACCCATTCATTAATCTGAAACTTTCTTGCTCACAAGATTGGTTTGGATAAAGAAGGCCCTACAGTATATTTCTTGTTGCTTGCTGTGTTCGTCTGACCTATAAATTTCCTTGGTTCTATGGTTCTTATGGTTCTTAAGAGGAGATATGATGGAAGTGTTCAAAATTGTCAGAGGTTCTGGTAAGGTAGGTAGATATTAGCATTTCTATTGTTTGGTGAGTTGGTAACTAGAGGACATCAATTTAAAATTATTTCTGAAAAAACACTAAAACAATTTTTCATACACACAGGATGTGGAGGGGTAGAAATTCCTCATGGGTCTTGATTTATAAAGATAAAAAGAACCGATAATAATACAAGCATTTGATATAGCACCTTATCATGGCATCAAGGTGTCTCCAAGTGTTCACAGGAGTTACTGTAAAATATCGTGACTCTTGTATTTGTAGGGTCATCGCCAATTTGCACATAGCAGTGTCCCATGAACAGCATTGTTGGCCAGGATACCAAGAGAAATTCCCTTCTCTGTCATGGGATCTTTAATATCCTCCTGTATAAACCAATGTCTCTTTTGGTTGAACATCTTATGCAAAGAACGGCAAGTAAGAACATAATGCTAGAAATGAAGCGCTCCAGGATGCTACCCCACGTGAAGGATACTACGTAAATCCAAGTTGTTGCTCTCTTTGTAGACGGAACAAGACCAAGGTCCAACAAGTTTGCCTTCCACCATCCTGGCAGTCGCTAGGACATGTCCTCTCTCAAACTATAGACTGTTTCCCAAGATATTATTTTCTAAAAGAAATCTGTCTAATTTGCTTTTGAAAGAATCGACCCATTTGTTTCCACTGTCCCTCTAGGGAGCATATTCCATACATTTACTGATTGCTCACTGAAATCGTGTTAACGCAAATCTGATTTAAACTTACCCCCTTTCAATCGCAGGCCTTGTCCTCTGGTTCTATTTTTCTGGACAAGATAAAACAGCTTATCATTGTCTACGTTACCCAGTCCCTTTATAATCTTAAAAAACACAATCATATCACCTCTCAATCTTCTCTTTTTCAGGGTGAACTTGCTCAGTTTACTTAATCGATCTACAGAATTTGGCAGATTCTTAAATACAGCCTTAATTTTGAAGCCTGTTTTTCGTAAGTTCCTTTAAGAAAAAAAAGCTAAAGAATATGAAGAAAGGCAGGAAAGGGAGATTGAATGGGTAGTTCTTTCAGAGAGCCAACGTGAATATAATAGGTGTGATTCTCTGATAAATATGATTCCTTATCAACCATTTCTGTTATATCTTGAATTGCTTTTAATAAGTTTGTTAGGTATGACCTAACTGACATAATTATATTGACCTATAGTAATCACATTCAGTGTATCTAATTCAATTCTTGAAATGATTCATTTAAAATGTTATTCCTTCCACAAATATTGAACTAAATTGCTTCTACATTTGTATTTAGAAAACGTGGAATGTTAAGTATGGCTGTGCTACATCTGTAATTAACTGTATACAAATTTCATCTTCTCATTCTGTTAAGTACTATATCCCATCTGCCTCAAATACCTCACTATTTTAATGAACATTTTATTGCTACATTGTACTTTTTCATAACCTCCCACTTTTTCGATGCATCTCTTACTCTTTCAACTCCAGTAAATTGAGTGTCACTGTTTTCATGCACCAGGCTCCGTGACCCTATCACACCTATCCTCATCTGACTCCACTGGCTTTATATCACACAGAGGATACAGTTCAAGATCCTGGTCATCACCTTCAAAGCCCTCCATGGCCTTGCTCCCCCCTACCTCTTTGACCTCCTAATCCCTACCAACCTGCCTGCTCCCTCCACTCAATGGGCTCCGGCCTGCTTCATGTCCCTCGCTTGCCCGCCCCACCATTGGCTGGTGGGCTTCAGCCACTCTGCCCCCACCCTCTGGAACTCCATTCTGCAGTCCCTCCGCCTCGCCCCCTTCCTCGCCACCTTCAAGACCTGTCTCAAGACCCTCCTCTTCGACCGTGCCTTCGATTACCCTCTTCCCCCACTACCCTCCACCCTCCCCGATCCCTGACCCCCAGCTTGGGACCGAAACTCTGTCTGTCCAGCGCCTTGGGACGTCCTCCTGACGTGAAAAATGCTATACAAATGTAATTTTGTTGTTGTTGTTCTACAGTTAAAACTATTTTGACTTTTTAAAAAGAAAATCTCCCAGCTAATTTCAAATTCTTTGCACGCCAGTAATATTCATGTAACATTTTTTTCCATTCACCAAGTAACCTTTGTAATTAATATTTCTTCAAATTTCTCCTTTCCTCCTGGTAGTCTTTTTAGACATTTTAGTTTAGTTTTATATATTGTATTTATCAGTTTTTCTCCCTTTCCTGACAACATAGGTTTGTTTGAGTGATATAATAATAATAATCCTTGCATTTGATATCATGTCTTATCACGTCTTCGAGACGTCTCAAAGTGCGTCACAGAATATACTGTAAAGTGAATTGACTGCATATTTTGTGGGCGATATAACACGGAAACAGGCCATTTGGTCCAATTAGTCCGTGCCGGTATTTATTCTCCACACTATACCTCTCCTATATTCGTCTATTCTCTTTTCCAGATTGATTGTCGAGATCCAAGTGGAAATATGACTTTCAATCACAAGACGATATTACATAGCAATTTTACCATTTTTTAATAAAAATGTTGATTATAATTCATTTTTTGGGTTGTAGAAATACTGAAAGGCTGTAATTTACCAGTACAGCAATATGCCAAGTACCTTCACTTGTGAGTGACTGGAGCATACCGATGACTTTTTCACTTACTTGTGACCTGACAAAGTTATCATTTCAGAATGTGGGCCATGATTTATTCTGTACTGATATGTCCTTATATAATAAAAATAATTGCCCACTACAAAAAAAACCAGTCTCAATCATACAATGCTATATTATGGATTTCAATGATGTGCCACTCGCTTGAGTACGCATTTTATCCCTGAATACATATCCACAGTTATTTGTTTCAAGAGACAAGTCAATCCCATCCAATAATAATAATCCGTCTAGTTGATAATAGCGCCTTAACATGTCATTGAGACATCGCAAAGCGCTTCACAGAATATTCTGTAAAGCGAATTCACTGTATATTTTGTGGGCGAAACGCGGCAGCCAATTGTGCACAGCAGTGTCCCACAAACAGTCATGGATTGAGTGATCATGAGAGAGAAACTCTCCTCTCTTTTTAAATAGTGCCACGGGATCTTTAATATCCACCTTAATATCCAGGACCTCCGTTTAACGTCCCATCCGAAGGATGGTAAATGTAATTGAGAAAGTAAACGCAGAACAATCCTCTCAGACTCACCGAGACAGTAAAACAAGAGGTTTAGAGTTGCAAAGAGTCAGTTTCGGGACAGACACCAGGAAGTGTTTCTTTACCCAAAGGGGAATTAACGAGTAGAACACGGCTATCAGGAAGGGGGTGGGTGGGGGAATCGGGTTGAGGCCAGGACACTGAGACTCATTTGAAAAAAGCAGCTAAAATATTCTGAATTAGACAAAATACAAATCATTAGGAAAATATATTGCAAGAGTTAATTACCAGATTGTAGAATGGAAAGAAAGAAAAAGCAATGTTTTTCATAAATCTCTTGTGTTTGATTTTTATGAACTGAGCACACTGCATGAGGGGGTGTGGGGGTGATATAAATGCAAGTTGTTGTTGGTTAATAAAATTGAACTGGTCTTTTTCCCCTCAGTTGTGCCTCACATAACTGATGCCATTCAGGAGTGGGTAATGCTTCAAGCCAAAGTCCCAGTGGATAATGATCAAAAAGTACCACAGCTCTGTATTATTGAGGTAAGATCAAGCCCATCAACCCCACATAAATAAAGAATATTGGATGATGTAACCATTAAGAACAAACACAGTGAGTGGGCACTTAAGTCCATTTTGCAGATTATACCAATTACTTTGTGCTTAACTCTCTCTCCTTTTTTGGTATAAAAATTTCCCTTGGTAATCTGATGCCAGCATAAGGTGAAGGTTGAAGTACAGAACATGATGCTGTGCCCTACGGTTTCGTCATGAATATTAGGCCGGAATGGGGAAAGAAATCTAAAGCAAAGTTATGGTTTGGGCACACCCCCATAGAACATATTGACATTTTAGTAATCCTATTATCTGCTCGAGAATTTTTGATACAGTGTGTTTGATTTGTAGGCTAGGTGGAGCAATTCTCTACATCACTGTAACCTGAAGCTGCATTTCCTACTTTTCTTACTGACGAGCTGCCTAAAGACTGAACTAAGCTTAGGTGCATATCACATTCATAAGTCGGCAAAAGGTACAGAAGAATAAATCATTAGCAGTGTTCACTGTATAGTTTCTAATACTGTAATCCATATTTTCTGCAAGAGATTAGATATAATGATACATAATCATCAAGTTTAATCAGAAATTGGATAACCACTAGCTCTGAAGTTTAAATAAAAGGCTGAAGGAATTATTAGGCTAAGGAGTTCAAACATTTAAAATAATGTGAAAATTATCTTTGAAAAAGATAATTCATATCCCAAGGTAACCTCCATAAATCTTACACCTGTCAAAATAATTGCTATGCGTTTGTATTTTTTGGATTGTGTCTTGTTTGTGCTTGTCTCAAGTAAATGTTCCCAAATGATATTTTGGCATGATATTTTCGAATTCAATTTCAGTGTTCGGTTCAACACATTATTTTTTTGAAGGTCGCTACTGAGAAAGACTCCAAAACTGGAAGAGTAATGTGGTTACAGTATTTTAATAGCAACTCATGGAAGAAATGTATTGGCAAAATAAATAATCTTTGCATTTGCATTTGATAGAGCATGTATAACATCAAAAACTTCAGACCTTCCATAAAGTGTATTTGTAGACAAACGTGGCATCTAATTTGTGCTCAGCAATCTCCTCCAGACGGCCATGAAGTGAATGACCATTTTATCTTGAGGAATGTTTGGCCAGGACATTGAGTAAAATTGCCTTATCTTTTTGAAGAATAACATGGGATCTTTAACGTCCTCCTGAACAGGTTTAATGTCTAATCCTTTAGGCGGCATCTCTTGACTATTCAGCACTCTTCCAGCACTGCACTGGTTTGTCAGCTGGGCTGACAAAAGACCCAACAGGTGGCTTAAACCCACAACCTTCTGACCTGGAGGTAGGTGTGCTATCAATGGAGCCAAACAGATTTACTTCAAAATACTAATTATTGTGATGAGAAAAGAAGAATTATTGCTGAAGCACTAGTGAAACTGAATTTCATAGTTTAGGGTTATGGAGTCCTGAAGCTCAGTGGTTAGAGCACTTGCCTGGCAAGCGAGAGACCTGGATTCGATTCCCAGCAGGGTGAAATCTTGGGCAATTTTCCTTACTCCACACGTCTGATAATAACCCCTCAAGAAAAAAAAACAATAATAAATTGGTCACTTCAATCTACGAATGTTTGTGGGACATTGCTGTGCGCAATTGGCTGCCGCGTTCGCCCACAAATTTACAGTCAATTCACTTTACAGTGTGTTCTGTGAAGCGCTTTGGGACGTCCTCCCGACGTGAAAAGCGCTATATCAAATGGAAGGATTATTATTATTATTATTATGAAGCGTTTTGAGATGTTTAGAAGACGTGAAAAGCGCTATATCAAATGCAAGAATTATTATTATAATTTTCACATCTTATTTTTGTGAAGTATGGAGTCATTTTGATCTGAAAGTGTAGTCTTGTGTCGTAACATTAATTTGTGAAAAATTGGTCAGAGTCATCACTTTAGGTAGAAACTCAGTGTGGGGTTTTAATTCATTGAAGTATTTATTCAAGGCTGTTTGTGTACATAGTGATTAGATTGTTTGGGTCACAGTCAGTGGGATGCAGTAGATTTTAGAAAAGACAATTATTATTGTGAAAGCTTCACATTAATATTAACAAGTGAGCTCTCAGGGGAGTGATTTAAGTCTGGACAGGGTCAGGAGCAAATCTTGGCGCGAGCTGAGATTTAAGGAAGACATTCTAAAAGTAAAGTTTCAGAAATTTGTTGTAGCTACAATTAAAACTAGTCGGTTTATACTGTTCAGAAAGTGAGATGCACATGTCATGCAACTGACTGTACTTTTACATGTCAAGAATTGAAGTTGTGCTCCTAAAGGTTATGATTTATCAACTTAAACACAAACACAAGGAAAACCAAGAAGCTAACTATCCCCTGGCTAAATGGGTATGAAAGTTATTCCTGACATACACCTATAAATAATATTAGTGAACATAGCCTTGATTTGTTTTTTAAAAAAGTTAATAACCATGAATATTTCATAAAATGGTGCCTCTTTTCAGTCCTTTTGCATTTTGAACATCAATAATGGTGAACCTTTACAACAAAATTGCAATGGTAACTTAAAAGAAATTTCAGAAGAATATAAAAACAAAATGTTGACCCATGGCACAGTTATTATTGTTTGAATGATGATACATGTTGAGAGATTTGATTGAAACACTGAACTTTAATGTAAAATCACTACTCAAAATATGTTGACTCTAGTTTTTGTTTAACAAGGTTATGTATGACCATAATGTGAAATTATGTTGCCATATGCTGTCAATTTATTTATTGCCTTTCCTGCCCTTTTCATGTGAAAAAGTGAAGCATGCTCAGTATCTAAGTTTATTTGTTAATATTGGAAGACAGATACAATGTAGTTAATTACTTCCTGGCAAAAATAGTTGGACCTTTGCTTAACTGCTCTAATTAATAATGATTTGGGACTTGATCTTCACTATGTGTGAACCTGAGGGATTAAACTTATTTTCTTTTTCAGCAACTAAATCAAAAATAAAGTTTAAGATAAATTTAAAGGAATAAAAACATGTTGAGAAGGAACAAGCTGGATTTAGAAAACATATTTGTGTTGCCATGTAAATAGTGATTTCAGGAACATTATAGTTTGAACCATGGCTCCAACAGAAAACATGGACTTAGTGAGGTGGGTTTAGTAATACTATATTTTAAATTGAATATATTGTGTAAGGTTCATCATGAAATAACAGGATAATAATAATAATAATCCTTGCATTTGATATAGCGCTTTTCACGTCGGGAGGACGTCCCAAAGCGCTTCACAGAACACACTGTAAAGTGAATTGACTGTATATTTGTGGGCGAACGCAGCAGCCAATTGTGCACAGCAATGTCCCATAAACAGTCGTAGATTGAAAATGACCAATTTATTATTGTTTTTGGTTTTGGAGGGATTATTATTAGGCTCTGTTTGGAGTAAGGAAACTTGCCCAAGGTTTTGCCCTGCCTGGAATTGAACTCAGGTCTCTCACTTGCAAAGCGAGTGCTCTAACCACTGAGCTACAGGATTCCACAGGATGCTGGGCTACATTGCCAGATCGGTTGAGTTCAGATTCCTCACAAATCATATTCAAGCTGAATAATGCTCTGGTTAGGCCATATCTACTGTATTGCATACAATTCCGATTGCCACAACATAAGGGGAGCTGCCATGACCCTCAGGGCAGGCAATAAAGATAATTCCCAGAGGAATTAACTATGAGCCATGATTAGATGAGCCAGGACTCTTCAATCTGGAAAGGAGATGTCTCAGAGGGGACAGCAGAAGAAGAGGACACACATTTAGACAACCTTCTGATAGACACAAGAGAGTGTTTCTTTACTCCAAGGGCAACGAGGGGAGGAATGTTCCAATTTCTGATTGCTAAGTACGTGAGGGGAGACGAGCTTTGAGTTTGACTGTAATGCCCTTTGTAGTCAACTAAACTGCTGATAACTTGTGGCTGGATTCACTCTGGAGATGAAGAGTAACTTTGCTGATTGCAGAGAATATCCACACTGAATGCCTTCAAGCGACATGGGTAGAACATTGGCAATAAAAATGTTGGGGATTTAATTCTTATAAATATTCCTAGTGACTTGGTGTCTCAAACCATGTAGCAATGAATTGTTAATAGGAGATTAAAATTGGAATTTGATTAAAATGGAAGGATTATCTTCAGGTGAAAAAGTATCTGCCAAGCTTGCCTCTGTATGTATCTCATGATGAAAAGCAGCCAGTTTTCCGGTGGTATGGTGCTCGATTCCCTTTTAGGAGTCAGATCAGTCACCGTCTTCTCACCTGGTTTCTTCTGATTCACGAAAGAAATGCTGTGCGTCACACTGAGTGAATGTGGTGCTGTTTCGCAAAGGGAACAAATGTACAAAGACTTTAGTACGCTGTTTTACTATACAATTTGCAATACAATTTACATTGAGAGCAGAGCAGATCTTTTTGATTTTGGACTTGAAGATGGCAATTATCTCCTCACAAAGACAGGAAATAAAGCTGCCTTATACTTGGGGTATCCTGGCCTCTATTACTGTTATTTTGGTAACAGTGAATGCGAAAATAAAATATTAAAGTATCTGTGATCCTCCAATAGCATCGACTACTTATACAATCACATCCTGTTTCTGTACATTGCACTATCGGCACTATTCCCTCATTCTGAAGTTATGGCTTTTCCTTTGGGAGGTGGAGAGAACTTTGGTTTGGATGCAGCACCTCTGCTTTGAAATCACATCTTGAGCTGCTCATACTGAATATAGGAAGAGTATTAATTAAGAGCCATCATTGTTTGCATCAGATTACTATGTATCCCAGAGAGCCTTTATTCATGGGTAACTTTTTTGAGTTCTTTTGAACTTTCCTTCTAAAGGTTTACTTTTATCTTGTCCCTCTTACTTTACTATTGAGGAATAATACATGATTCAGTGCCACTTTTGAACTTTCCCATAACAGTCAAAACCCCAGAGATTCTGTTGTTGAAAA